AGTGGCTGATGTGAAGGGCTCTTGTAGACAGATAACGTCAACATTATTGTTATGAATATAGTAAAGCAAGTCATTAATTTTATGGTTAACACCACGTATATTCCATGAGAGAAAAGTAATCATTTTCTTGTCCCCCATCACACCCTATAATTAGCTGATTGGTTAAATTTGTGTTTGATGAAACTCTTTAGTCTGCATATTTCTTGTAAAGCATTACATCACCCTATCACTTTTTATATCCATAATGTTTTTTTCTCATTTCAGCGAACTCTTGCCTGAAGCTTCTTATTTCCTCAATCACTTCCTTTTGTTTATCACTGGTCACTCCTGTTGCACTGTAGCAGACCACAACATCTGAGCTCCACGGTCGAATGGAGCTCGACTCTATGTATTGTACAAAGAATTGGTACTCTTTGGATAGCGGATGTTCTCCGCTCCATACAATGACGGTCCTATTTAAGGGTTGTCCGTCTTTGTAAATCCTCCGAGCTTTAAAAACACCCGGAAAATGCAGTGCTTCCTCAGCGGTAGCCTGGTGACCAGGTAATCCCCGTCTCTTTTGCTTTTGGGCTGATAGTTGTCATTGTTCTGGAGAGAAATCCCCGCTTGGAATCCAGTTTTCTGTGGAAGACAGTTGTCCCCAGCGAGATATTCACATTGTTCTGGGAGACTTCAATGCAGAGCATGGTTCGAGAGGAACTGACTCCGGCAGAGAGAATACCCTTCTTCTTTGGGACTTTGGTAGGCACAGAAACTTAGGATTTCTGAATCCTAGTATCAGTAATCCAACCTGCATCGCTGGAACAATGTGACAAAGAGAAATGAGCGCATCCTTATTAACACTCGCTGGAGGATCCTCCAAAACCAAAGGGTTTATCGGAGGACTGTTTTACCATAGAATGCTTGCGGTTACCATCCGGGTCCACTTCAAAATCCTCTGTCTAGTATACACCCAAGGGTGTTTCAAAAGGCCAGACCGAGGGAGGAGTGTGGCCGGAGGTCTGGCTATCTTTGACCGATTCATAATACTTGACAGGCTGACGGACCCTGTAGCACTGTGGGATTCCTTCAAACCTGAAACGTTTGATGCAGCTCAGAAGTATAGGCGAACGCCCGAGAACACTCGCAGATGCAGTTGGCCACAGGTGTGTGTCGCGTGGCAAGACTGACTGTGGATCAAGACTTGCAACGCTCTTGGCGACACTGTTGAGTGAGGATAAGAAATAGTAACATGAGGGAAAACGGCAATTTGAACCTCACTAGAACTCTACAAAACTTACTGAAACTACCAGATCCATTACGTTGGGTGTCAACTTGAGTAATATGTAACCCTGCATCACATCGAAACAGGGATTAAATGCAAATTTTTGCATATTGAGATATACACATATTCAGATTCCTGACTCTTCCTGCTCCATTTTGATACCAAAATCATAGGGCTACCATGATCGGCTCATGAGATATGACCGATTGTCCGGACAAACTCTCTCGCGTGTTCTCTCTCTCTCTCTCTCGAAAATTTTACATACATTTACACTGTATTGGCCACAGCTCTATTGTGCACTGTGCGACTTAATAACTGGTTCGATGTGACGGGTCTCATGTTATTTTGTCTCTTGTAGATGAGCTAATTTTGATCACATGAATTGGCCTGCACACGATAGTATATACCAGTATGCGTGAGCATCAACTTTCATTAATAGACTGCATAGGTTCTCAAAGTGGGGATCCCGACCCCCAAGGGGCTCGCGATATAATCTAGAGGGGTCGCGAGATCCTGCAATCCATCCTCCTTCTCCTCTCGCTCCCACTACCCATCCTAACGCGTTTAGAACTTGTCAGCGGTGTTCGGTTTCCCGATGCTCGATAATGCATCATAAAACCACGTTATGCATACATGCGTCTTAGTGATTGTCAGAAATGCTTAGTTACTGGTGAGTGGGCCGCGTATCTATCGAAGTAATTTGCAAGGGCCGTAGCCAAACAATTTTGAGAACCCTGGCCTATCGAGAGATACATTTGAAAAATCTGAAATCTATACCGTATATAGAAAATCTAGTAACATACAGAGCAAATTGGTGCAGTTGTAAAATAGTTATGGAACATTTCAAAGCAAATAGTTTTTACTAGTACCCGGGAAAGGGAATATTTCAATGGGAAACTGATAAAATGGTATGGGAGGTCTGTCTACAGGGAGGACAAAAAAGTTAAAAGCACCCTTGTGCATCTTTTACAACTACCTACATTTCCCCGGTATAGATAACCATTCTTATTCCATACAGAATAGCTCGCAAGACAACGACCAACACGACATTATTAACGCAACGGAAAGAAATCCAGCCGAAAATCCAACCGTGGCAACTCACCCACGTGCTATTGTTTACATGGCGTTGCGTCAGACTCGTCCTGGAGGCGAATGGTCTGCTTAGTACTACCTTTTAAGACACACAAAAATACTCCTAAAGAAAACGAAACTGATAGAAATAATATAAAGAAAGAAGAAAGAAAATTAGATCCAAGGGGTATAGACTAGACAATAGTCTAAAAACCCTATAAAAGAAGATAGAAGAAAGAAGAATGGTCTGCTTTTAAGGGGCGTTGAGATTCTTAGATTCTGTATACCTGGAAAAAAAAACAATTTTAGAAATCATTCGAGATGGCCGTGGCTGTGGATTCGGCGAAATACCTGTTAGATGAGATTCTGCCGGTTTTGAAACGTGTAGAGGAGGCGTTTGCTCTTATCGGGATCTATTACGCTGGGTCTGTGACTGTCAGGGTCCTTTGGAAGGTCACGAAAGGGGTCAGAGTGCACTTCTGGTCCAAGCTGTGGAAGAAGGACTTGGTTGGAAAATATGGCAGATGGGCAGGTATGATTCATAGTTTGGTCCAGTGTTATTTCTGAAACTAGAGAAAACAGAGATATTACAAGCAGTCATGTTGGAATGTATATATATATTGCTGTGTTTATAGTGTTCTGGGAATGGCAAATATACAGAACATCCTTATATAAATATTAAGATATGATTTGCATCATAATTTTGTAAGTATTTATACGACAGCTGCATATGCTACTGGCCTGCATTCATCTGGTACTCCAGCAAAGGCTAACAAATCTCATTCATGTATATTTTGACAAAATAGTGTATGAAATCACAAAGCCATACTGATTGCTGTATAGTGCTGCTATTGGGTTAAGTATTTGTGTGGCATATATACACATGCGCACACACACACACACACACACACACACACACACACACACACACACACACACACACACACACACACACACACACACACACACACACACACACACACATATATCTGTATGTATCTGTATATGTATGTATGTTCAGATGTATAGTTGTTTACATATATTTATACATTTATACATATATATGTATGTATATGTTAATATATATACACATGTCTATATATGTATGAATAACAAATATTAGTACTAACCTTCAGAGAAAATTAAATGTATGCTTTTTAGAGTGTAGTCTAATCCAGTTTGGGATTTGACATCTATTTCTGTATCAATATACAACTTTTACTATTTGAATTTTATTTCTTTATTTTATTTTATTTATTTTTTCATCCTTTACAGATATAAAAAAATTTAAGCTGTTACATTATTTTGTGGCGATGATGTGTGCATTTCTGTCATCTAAGTAGAGTAAAGGAATTAAAAATAGTAATTGTATATTACAATCAGAATATGCCAGTATTTTCTCCTAATTAAGTCATCTGTAAGATACACATATATTTATTCAAGGTTTTTAAAAAATGCCTTTCTGGATCTTTACAGTCGTGACAGGCTCAACTGATGGCATAGGAAAAGGCTATGCTAAAGAGCTTGCAAAAAATGGAATGAACATAGTACTTGTCTCCAGGTCTTTAGGGAAGCTGGAGAAAGTGGCAGAGGAAATTGGTATGTAGAATTCATGGTAATAAAAACTAGACCAGATAAAGAGGGATACATGAGGCTAAATATGTGTTCGTGTATTCATGTAGTAGTAGGTTGTTGTAAGAGTAGTAGTAGTAGTAGTAGTAGTAGTAGTAGTAGTAGTGGCATTTTAGGTAGTAGTGGTAGTTGTAGTAGGAGTAGTAGTAGTAGTAGTAGTAGTTGTAGTAGTTAGTATTAACATTTTATTTATGTTATTATTTACTTTCTGAAGTTGGTATTGGCATTAAATGCAAAAAAAATTCTTGGAGAATTGTAAAGTACAGACAAAATTATCAAACTTCTAAATCATTTGCAGTGGCTGAGTTTGGAGTTGAGACAGATGTTGTTCAAGCAGACTTTTCTTTGGGTCGTCATGTCTATGATAATATTGCAAGACATTTGAAAGACAAAGAAATTGGCATTTTAGGTAAGTCATACAGCAGTAAAGCTTTTATGGATATATATGCCATTTCTTTTATATATATATATATATATATAATATATATATATATATATATATATATATATATATATATATATATAGATATAGATATAGATATATATATATATATATATATATATATATATATATATATATATATATATATATATAGATATATAGATATATAGATATATAGATATATATATATATATATATATATATATATATATATATATATATATATATATATATATATATATATATATATATATATATATATACTTATAGATTATTGAATTGCAGGAAATAAATTGATATATGCAATATTTTTTTGTTCTGCAGTTAACAATGTTGGAACACTGATCACTCCAAGACTATTTGATAAGCTAACAGATGATGACATCTGGACCTATGTGAATGTGAATGTAGCATCAGTGCCAGCTATGACCAAGTTGGTGTTGCCTGGAATGTTGGAAAGGAAGAAAGGAGCTATTATCAATATTTCCTCAGAAGTGGCTTACTTTTCGCTACCGTACCTTCAGATGTATGCAGCAACAAAGGTTGGTTTACCCTGTACTTGTTTGTTTTTGTAGTTGTCTTTCCCTTTGCTTCTCTCCCTCTCCTTCCCTCCCTCCTTCATATTACTCTTGAAGTTGAAATCCTGGTTAATGCAATCAGTAACTTTAACTTATAAAACCTTACAATAAATATATTGCATTTAGTAGCTTCCTCCTCTACATTATAACAATTCATTCATAATTTTCCAGTCCTTTGTCAGTAGCTTCACTCGAGCTATTGATGCAGAATATTACTCATCAGGGATTACAGTCCAGTGCATAGAGCCGGCAGGTGTGTCTACCAACATGAATGCTTTTGATGAAAGGATTCACAGGCCAGGTTAAGTTACTTTCAGTTCTGGTTATATTTCCTTTGTGTGTTACATCTATATGTATTTTTGTGTGTCTGAAATATCTTTAACTGTCTTAGGTATACTAGTCACATCAAAGAATGGTAGGCTGGTTTTGTGTTTCTTTTAGTGGAATTGGAACCAATATTGGGAATAATTATATTTATTTAGTTGCTTTAATACATGTTTTAATACTGTGACTATCGTGATACAAGAGCAATGTACAGTATTTTTTTAGTGCAAGTCACATTTTTGTTAATATTTGTTTCTCACTTTCTGGTATGTTATGTGTTTTTTTTATGAATAGCTAAGTGTTATCATATAAGTAATTCAATGCATATGAACAGGATTCTTCACTGCAACCCCTGACCATTTTGCTGCAAGTGCTGTTGCAACCCTTGGCTACTCTAGCTGCACCACTGGTTATTGGACTCATGGGCTTCAGGTGGGAGTGTATACTTCAGTTCAGTGTGTGTGTGTGTGTGTGTGTGTGTGTGTGTGTGTGTGTGTGTGTGTGTGTGTGTGTGTGTGTGTGTGTGTGTGTGTGTGTGTGTGTGTGTGTTTTTGTGTGTGTGTGTGTTTTGTTGTTGTTTTGTGTATATTTTTTTCCTGTTGGTATATGTTTTTTAAATAGATGATAAATATTTTATTTTCCTTTATTTTTATGATATATTGGAATATTGTAAGAATACTAATTCTAATGATCTGCCTAGCAGGAAACCAACTAAATTTTTGATTCTAGAAATAATAAATAAATTAAAAATAACTATTAGAGAAAAGTATTAGATATTAAAAATAAACACTACATGATATTTACTGAACTTCTGACTTTGTATTTTGCAGTTGTCTTTCCTGCAGCTTTTCCCAGAGTGGTTCATAGTAATGAGCTTCAGGTACATGGTGGAGTTCAGCCAAAAGAAGTTAAAATGAAGTGGGTGTAAGTGCTGCACTTACTTCATGGCCACCAAATAGATCCTTCCAAGCAAACGAGAATAATGAGATGGAGAGAACGATTGTAATGAGAAGTGCTGCACTTTAAAAATATATGTGGTTTGATCAGTTGAGATTTGTCACGAGAGGATCGTCGAGTGAACTTGTTATTTATTGATTATTCTTTTCTTGTTTTTAAGAGTTTTTATTTGAAAGAGGAAAATGGGAATATCTTCTGTGTTTTATGCTTTTGGTGGTTATTAGTCGGAGAGGGTGACAGTTTGCTCGTCGAAAGTCTGTATTGTAGAAAGGAAGATGGAAGGCAATTAATTATCTTATTTTTGTGTGATGAATACAGGGATGGGTTGTAGTCAGTTTTGTTTAATTTTTACTTTATTTTCTGGACTTATAAATATTGACAGATGAATAATACTGGAAAAAATATATATATTACAGTTTTCTCAAGTCATTCATAGATTACCATCATTCAGTCTGTTGACCCATACATAATTTATGTCTGTAACCCAGAAATGTCATGATTTTGCATGAATGACTTACTGGCAGCTTGATTAAATAGTAAACTAGAAGTTTTTAAGCTACTTTTGCTTAATATTACTTGCAATGACTTGAGAGCTTTTGTTGGGTGTATGTTATATTGAATTATATAAAAATAGGTGATTACTCAATTACTCTTCAGTGCATGCAACTCATTTGATAATGATTAAGATAGAATGTCATCAGATAAATTAGGAATTAAGGGAGAGATTCATGTTTTTATGTAATGGACCTTATTGCCTTTAAATGGAAGCAGCAAGATATGGTGGCATAGACTATGATGCATTAAAGTCTAACATTCCACTACAGATAATGTATATATTGTGATTGTTGATAGTACATTGTTATCATTTATATAAGAGTTTAAGGAAGTAGCTTTGTGAAAGACATTAGCAATCCTATTGTGGCAAAATACAAAATGGGACAAGCTTTGTGTGTTGTTCTGGTTTTAACTTAACATGGAGCATTGCCAGCTTTCTTGCTAGGCTTTGAAGATTTGCTTGACTAAAGGAAAGTGCATTGTAGATTTTTTTGTTTGGTGAATGCAAGGTTGGAAATTTGAATTTCAGTTTGAATGGTAAATGAGACAAATGTAAAGCAAGAACCAGTTTTAGTTTCCTTCTCCATTGAGAGTTGGAATAAAAGAAGAAAGAAAAGAAGAGTAATGTATCATAGGTTCATTTTGCTGGAAGTTTGAATATTGTGAGTATTGGACTTTAATCCATAAACTGTGACATGCCTCATGAGATGTCCTTTTGATAGCCAACAACACATACTCAAGAGAGTTGGTTGCTCGTTGAATTTGACACATATTTATAATGTTTTGGCAGGAGTTGATGCTGAGATCTCCAGCATCCCCCAGGATACAGTACCTCATGTAGGAGCTGCTACTTAGGTGCCAGTTTTCTATGCAGCTTTGCCTGGGTTAATGGGGAAACTTGTAAATTTGAAAAATTGTATCTTGGTTTATGTCTAGATGTTTTGACTTTTCAGAGCAAGAAATATATGCCTTACAAATTAAGAAGTATCTAGTCTTGTTAAAACTCTTCTTTGACACTTTACAGGTTAAGGGATGTGTTTGAAAAAGAAGTGTATATAAGTAGTTGGTTGGAGTTCTCATAAAAGTGAGATTTATTAATGCTAACATGCAGGTTGTAGACATTTACAGATTGTTTAATTATACCATTGTAGATTCATTCATGTATGTCTCTTAACTTGCAATGATACAAAGTAGGTAAATGTGCGCCTGTAACTGTCACATCCAGAAAATTATTTGCTTGTGAGGCAATCTGCATTTTCATAGCTCAGTTTCATCTGTCATGCACAAGTATGTAACCTGCAGGATATAATCATTGTGATGTTTGTTGATAGAATATAACCTTGAAGATGAATGTATGGAAACAAAGTCAGGCTGTGAAGAACTTTGCCAAATAATTGTAATGGTAAGATTAATTTTGGTAAGTCTTGTTGCTATTGTTGTTTAACTTTGTGAAACCAGTAAGAGTCAGAGATGCCTTGAAGTACAATAAGAGTAATTTGTTATCCACTATAATGGCTGACCATTTTGTAATGGGATAGAGAGGGTGTTTTAAAGGTTGTCTATTTTATCCACTTATCATCTTTGATATTTGTTTATTTATGTTTTTTATCATGATTATTTTTTGTGTGTGTAAGTATGTTAATTTCATGAATATTTTTTTGATTCCTCAACTGTTTAGCCAGTTGGAGGGTATTTGATAATCATGAATAAATGTCCTTTGTAGTAATCTTGTTTTGGTATTATTTAATTCACTATATTTTTTTGGTTTGTCAATCCTTTTTTCTTCCTCTTTAGTTGTTAGCCTCCTTTTTACATAGACACCATTTTTAGCTGAAATGTCTACTTCAGTTGAAAATTTTCTTCTGAAAGTGGCATACTGCGGTACTTCTTATCCCTTTCCTGAAGGTTTTGAATCTAATCTACGAGATAGTAAAGAAAAAGAGCTGAAGTTATTTTCAGCTCATATTTATTTCATCTGTTTGAGTTTCCTATCCTGTATATTGTTGAAAGTTAATGATCATTAGTGGTTGATAGCAAATAATTAGGGTGTTATTTTTACTAATGTGTTACAAGAAATATTGTTCATTCAAATACAAAAAAAAATTGCGTATTTTGATTCCCATTCTACACAACATACATTCTCTCTGTCTTCTCTCTTGCCGTATATGAATTAGTATTTATTATATTTTCACCTACTTCTCCAGTGATGCTACATCTTCCCTTACAATGTATCTTTGGTGAATTACTAGACTCCTTTGCTCCATTATACGTTTGTTGATAGATATTTTAATTTGCTATTAATTATTTATTTGTGAATTTGGATCACAGTGCCATATATATGTAGGACCCATAGAATCATAGATTCTATATGCTCAAAAAATTGTAGTGTTGTAGTTACCTAACAAGTAAATGGCCTAAATCATAAGTGATATGAGACTAGCTATGCAACAAGGCTGATGTATGCATGATGCACCACATTCATCAATGTTATGCACTCAGTGAAGTTCAAGTCAACAGGGAAATTTCACCACTGTGGCTCACTTAGGGTTTCAGGAACTGATAGCAAATTTGGGCTCCTCTTTGTAAACTAATTTAAACCCACTGGTGCAGGATACAATCAATGTTCAATGTGATTTTGTGTTGTTAATTTTGTTTACATGCATATGGCTTTACAAGCATTAAGGAATCAATTATGAGGCCAACTTGATCTCTCTTGTCTACCCAGTACTGGATTTTTGTTTGTTTCTAATATTGATAACATTACAAATATCATCATATCTGTTATCATCATGATTATAATATAACATTATTAACAATCACAACAGTAGTACATTTTTAATTAGAATAAAGAAGTGGGGTAAATAGGTGAGGTCAGGTAGGCCTAGTAACTAGTTCTTCTAAAGCCAGCTATGCATAAGCAAAATTATTAAAATAAAACTACAGTTGACTGTGCATGGATAAATGCACTTCTGACATCAACAAGTTAATGTAACATATTGTATATAAACTGCTGAAACACACAATGAGAATAGAATTTAATACCTCATTCCCATGCCTTCTAAATGCACAAGAATTTGCAGCTTTTAATATTGATCAGTGAGTGGCTGTTTTTAAGCACAGATTACATTAAAGTTAAATTGTCACAAATGCTTTTGTCTTGACTTGAAATGTATATTATAGCTTGAGATATATATCAGTAGTCAGCCTCTCCTAAATATTGCATGATCAATTAGTTTCAGCAATGTTTGAAAGTACTCTAACAAAAAGTAGGAGAATGCTGATTTTTCATAAGAGATTCAAAATCAAATCCATTTTTTTATTTTAATGGTTTTATAAAATTAAATTACTTACAATGAAACATCATATTTGTCAATTTTTGGCTATGTCTGATGTCATATTACTCAACCAGAGTTTAAGAGTGGGAATCTATGAAAACTTTTTTTTCACTTGGAACAGCAAATGCACACTTACACTAATATGCACATTCACATATATACCCAAAGTATATATATACACCTAAGCCTTGTGTAAAACTCATTTTATTAAGATACATCTGGTTGACTGCATTTTATGCTGATGTTTCATGGCTCATTACTTTTTGCTCTCTTTAATAATCTCACTAAAAAAAACATTATCTCTTTGCTCTCCTGTTTTCATGGCAATAAATGGATATTAAAACTTTAATAATCCGAAGCCCCAGTTCTTATGCTGATTTTTAAAGGTATCTCCTTCACTTTTGAAAACATGTTGACTCTAGAACTCTTTGACTATCAGGTGTAATTGATTAATAAAAATCTTAGACTAAATGAGTAGTTAGAGTTATGTAATTCATTATCAAAAACAATTATGATCCTTGCCTCCACCTGAAGAATACTGTATGTTATAAACAGAGGACGTGAAAGAGGTCCTCACAATGAATGGCCGGATAATACATTTGAATCTCTCTCCTTACATTCACATCTTAGTTGAATTTAGCTTCACCATCAGTCTCGTAGAATTTGATTCTTGACATACAGTATACATTTTGCTTGTCATGTATCTGCTTTATACCAATAATGTTCATGCTTTATGCCTCTTTCTTGGAACTGACTCCAGGTGCTTATATACCACCCTTGCTCTGCATTCCAGTATAGATTTGCTTTACTTTAGCTTATTCTCTCTTTAAAGTACATTTGTCTTACCATATACAAATACTGAAAAGTCTGTAGAGACTTAATCATGTACAGACATTGGTATACCTACAAGCCAGAGTTGGTATTTTAGTTAATTTAATTTATCTAATAAGTAATGTTATACATTTGAAGCATGTGACTACAGTGATAAATAAATACATAGATTATGGAATTGCATGCCATTTTACTCCTTCCCAGTTGTTCAAAAATTGTAATACTCATATAGGATACCCATAGCAATGTAATTGAGACATGCAACAGTTTGCAAAAGTTTTGAAAAATGCAAATTGTCATGTAAGAACAATAATTACAATTCATGACAACCAGTGCTTCCAATATTTTAAATTAGAACAACTGCCTGTGATTTAACTCCGGATGTATATACATAACCCGCCCTTCCCTCTGTAATATACAAACAAGGAGTGTTACAAGGAAGACCAAATTTGTTTTATACTTATTTTGAGATCAGTTTTTGAGAAATGGTTACATATATGTCTTGGTATCCATAGAAAAACAAATGTGGGGTGAAATAATTGATCCATCTCCTGTATCCTCTAGTTGCAAAAAGGAGTGTATTTTAAAGTATAAATAATCAAACCACATCACACACACACACACACACACACACACACACACACACACACACACACACACACACACACACACACACACACACACACACACACACATATATATATATATATATATTATATATATATATATATATATATATATATATATATATATATATATATATATATATATATATATATATATATATATATATATATATATATATTATATATATATTATATATATATATATATATATATATATATATATATATATATATATATATATATATATATATATATATATATATATATATATATATATATATATATATATATATATATATATATATATATATATATATATATATATATATATATATATATATATATATATATATATATATATATATATATATATATATATATATATATATATATATAACATATATATACATACATATATATATATATATATATATATATATATATATATATATATATATATATATATATATATATATATATATATATATATATATATATATATATATATATATATATATATATATATATATATATATATATATATATATATATATATTATATATATATATATATATATATATATATATATATATATATATATATATATATATATATATATATATATATATATATATATATATATATATATATATATATATATATATATATATATATATATATATATATTATGTATATGTATATATATATATATATATATATATATATATATATATATATATATATATATATATATATATGTATATATATATATATATATATATATATATATATATATATATATATATATATATATACATGCATACATATGTATATATATATATATATATATATATATATATATATATATATATATGTATGACATATATATATGTATATGTAGATATATGTATATATATATATTTATATATATACACTTACATGTGTGTGTGTACACACACACACACACACACACACACACACACACACACACACACACACACACACACACACACACACACACACACACATATATATAACATACATAACATATATGATTGTGTGTGCGTGTGCGTGCGCGTGTGCGTGCGCGTGTGCGTGTGCGCGTACGTGGGTGCATGCGTGTGCGTGTGTGTGCATGCATGTGTGTGCACGTGCGTACGTGTGCGTGCGTGCGTGCATGTTTGTGTGCATTGTGTGTGTGTTCGTACTAAGTTGTTTCAATATCGGAGAAGAGCTAAGCTCAGATGGTCCCGCCTGATATATTTAAATACAACTTTTTAAATTGATGCACATTTTTAACACATAACGTTATTTGGAAGATTGTTTCATGTTTCAATAGTTCTGTTTGGGAAATTTAAATGACTAAGTTCTCGATGTCACTTTGGAGGCATTGGCGAAATTGCAAAAAAGGATAATAGACGATGTCTATTTCGCGTCGTCTGCAAACATATTTAGATAACTATCTGACCCTAAATCATTTATGAAAATAGTAAACATAATCGGCGCCAAGACCGATCCTTGAGGTACTCCACTAGTTACTCGTCACCATGTAGAGTGCTTCCCTCTAATTACGGGTCTCATTTGTCTTTCATGAAGAAAGTCTTCCATCAATTCGAGGAATTTGCCTTTCACTCTACCTAGGTGTTCTACTTTTCATAATAGTCTTTTATGAGACACTTACCAAATGCCTTCTTAAAGTCTTAAATATACACAATGCACCCAGCCGTCTCTTTCTTGTAATATTTTAGAAACTCTATCATAGAAACAGAGATTTGCTACGCATGACCTTATTTGATATATCGTGTTTTCAAGTACTTCAACCCACTGTTTCCTAATTATCCATTGTAACAGTTTGCATACTATACTAGTTATTGAAACTGGTCTATAAGTTTGAGGGTTTTGTTGGTAACCGTTCTTGTATAAAGGCAAATTTCCAATCTTTTGGTAGTTTTCCTTGTCTCACAGAATTTTGGAATATTAACAATAACGGAATACATAATTCTTCGGCACATTCCCTCAGAACCCAGTCAGATATCTCATCTGGTTCCTCTGCTTTAGTCTTGTCTAACTCTTTCAGTAGGTCTTTTATTTCAATATTTTGATATTTTCAATATTCTGATTTACGTTTGTACGGTTACTTGCCATTTCAAAGTATGGGTCCTGAACAAAAACACTTACTGAGTTTTTTCATTTCACACATTTCCTCTTCCTTAGTATAGACGATGTTATTGCCTTTGATGGCGCTTATCTGATTTCTACTTTTAGTCTTACTATTTGTGTGTTTAGAGAAGTGCTTTGGTTGGTTTGTATTGATTATATCCTTTTAAAAGTCTAATTTCGCGTCCCTCATGGTTTGAGTATACTCATTTCTTCCTACTTTATACCTTTCATACGCTGCCTGAGATCTATGTCTTCTGAACCTTCTCCAAAGTTGTTTGTTTTCTCCCACTTTCTTGCATTTACAGTTGAATCACTTTTGGCCAATTCATGCTTCAGTTTTGAATCTTGATACAATTTTTTCTACTCCTTGTTTACAGACTTTGCAAAATTTAGAATATTGCATATCAAGGTTCTCTTCGTTCTGGAGAGTTTCCCGGTTATGCCATCAAAGACAATTTTCAGACTTCTATGATTATCTCTCTTGCAATTGTACTTTCCTTTTCTTTCCTTACTTACGAAGAGTTTTTTTTCCTGTAGCTGACAGTATTTCAACTGTAATTACTACATGCTCACTTTTTCCTAGGGCAATACTCCATATCCTTAATGTCATCTTTATGCTTTATAGATATCAGGTCAAGCACAGATGGTCTATCTAGCCCTCTTATCCTGATATGATCTGTTACATTCTGGAAGAGACAAAATTTATTTATGACTTCTTGTAACTTTACATTCCACGAATCCTGATATGATCTGTTACTTTCTGGAAGAGACAAAATTTATTTAAGACTTCTTGTAACTTTACATTCCACGAATCCTGATATGATCTGTTACATTCTGGAAGAGACAAAATTTATTTATGACTTCTTGTAACTTTACATTCCACGAATCAGGGCTCTGCTCTGGGGTCGAAACTTTCCCAGTCAGTTTTGCTATTAAAATCCTCTATTACAAGAATTTCTTTTGCATTAGCTTCCGAAAGTTGTAGCACTTCCTCCAGGCTCTTTAACGTTTTTTCAATTAGTTTTTGGTAATTTTCATGTGACTATACCGATGCATTAGGTGCCATGTACACTGTGGTTATTATTATATTTACTCCGTCTGTTTCTACCTGAATCTACCTCATTTCCTTGTTAATATTGCTACCCCCTTCCATTTTCATTTGCCCTTTTCTTCAAATATTGTAGTCTCTGAATCCTAATGTTACATCTTCTTGTTTGGACTCAGTGATGCATATTACGTCTGGCTTATTACTTTCAGTAACTGCATCTAATTCAAGTAACTTTGAACGTAAGCCATCTATATTTGTAAAAACTACATAATCTTTCCTGTCGGCTTCAAGGCTAATTTGGTTCCGATAGTAAACTTGTTTTGCTTGGAGGCCTCTCACCCTCCAAATAAACAAGTTTTTTTTCTTCTTCAGTCCTTTGTTCGTTTTTTTTTTTTATCTCTTCCATTTTTTTCTGCAGTATTTCTCTGTCATCTTTAGTCATATTTTCTCTTATTCAGATTTTCTAATATTCTTCGTGTGTGGCCACTTACCATATGCTTATTCATGAAAGTCATCTTTAAGGGGTGTTTCTTTCCCTTTTCGAATAATCCCAACCTCCTGTGGACTATGTTACTCTGCTCCGAGAATTCGGGATTTATGACCTTGAAAATATTAACAATCAATTTCTTGTCTTCGTTGTATCGCTCAATTCCATCTTCTACATTTTTTTATTCATGTCCCAATATGAGTATGTCCCTGTCTGCATCAGCCAAACTTGCAATATTCATGTGTGTATGTGTGTGTGCGTATAGATGTTCGTATATGCTTATAAACATAGATAGATTGATAGATATAGCTATATAGATAAACAGACAGACAAAAAGCAAGGGCGTCAGTTGGGGTACCAATTCCCCCCCCCCCCCCCCCTCAAGACTGTTTAGCCGCCAATAGATCTGGCTTCCCCCCCTCCTTCCTCCTTACCTCACGATCATTAATCCAGTAAGATTTTTTTAATGTCTTCAGTTTTCGGTTACTAAATTGTACCTAAATGTAGCTCTGGTTATAGCTTTAGAATGCCCCTTGAGTATGTAATTTTTCGAAAATTGTGCTCGCTTCCCTTGCTGATATATAGAAACGCGATACATACATACATACATATATATATATATATATATATATATATATATATATATATATATATATATATATATATATATATATATATACACACACATATACAGTTACAGATGAGGATGGATTGACAAATTTATGTGACAATAATGGAGGTTACCAGAGTAAATTAAATTATCAACACGTTTTTTTTCCGGAGACCACGTGGCAAATTTTATATATATATATATATATATATATATATATATATATATATATATATATATATATATATATGCTTCACGATTTGTTTATACTGCTGATGTAATCGAATTATATTAAACTGGGTAATCAGCTGTTTTATAGTCATTGAATAGTCAAGGGATACTGAGTCTTATTGAATGCGCTTTGTATGCACCCGATCATACTCAGCTAATTCAGATCCAGCACATTTTGTCTTTAGAAACACAAACTTGAATATATCATTAAAAGAAACGAAAAACATGTATCTCTAGATTGTAAATTATTAAAATAAGTTCATCTTTAAGTCCAATATTATTATCAAATTAAAAGTAATAGTATAAAAAATAACCATCAGCATCGAAGTTAATGAAACGTATCGGATCCGAAGTTTTCAATCATGGCGTCTACGGTGGAGAGTAAAGTCGAGGAGCGGAAAGATACAAACGAAAAACCCATCGATAGAGAGAAGGTGAGCTGTGTTTATGATGAAAAAATATATTGCATTAAGTATTAAGCAGCCAGTGTTAGGTGTTTTAGTGGTAAAGAGAACGCATGTAAAGAAATAAAGTCATTTGTATTCCGGTCGATCTTTTGAGAAAGCCTCGCCGCCAAGTTGGAATTTTCATGTTTATTCTGTACAAAGGAGTGTAAAAGTATGCCTTAGTTTAGTATATTTATTCCCCAGAAAAGCAGATATTGAAGTTAGCACGGTATACCAGTGATTTTCCTTCTTGTTATAGCAGTTCCTTTAAATCGATTGGTACGTGAAATTATGCCTTTTGGGTTATTTGTTTGGTATAATATTACATCTTAGGCTTAATATTTATTTTAACGGCGGTACTTCGTTTTTCGTTTTAAAAAATGTTATTTCAAGGTATTTTGATGTTTTAAGGAGATTATACACGTTATCAGTTGTGTAAACCACTTATTATAGGGTTTCACTCCTTTCCCTCTATCACACCTATCCTGGGGGGGATAGTTAGGGAACTGGGGTTGAAGGGGTTGGGGGGTGGGGTAATAAGTGGAGAAATTACTTGAGAAAAGCTTGAATGGCATTAAAAGTTGAAAAGAAATAATAATACAGAACTGTAAACTTTACCAGGGATTTATTACAATCCCTGACTGAAAGTCCATAGGGATGCACACTTTTATTTTGGATTTAAGATTGAACACAACCTGTTTCACACAATCTTTTTAACATCGCCAAATCCCCAAGCCAATGGATCTTCCCCTCTTCCCCATGGACTCCCATGTGGTTATGCTTCAATCTACCCTATATTACTGAACTATGACCAGGTGGCTTTACCTTCTGGATCATTGATACCAAGCTTATTCAAGATAACTTGCATTAGAGTGAAAGTGATTATAGTTTAACCCCTTGATGATGGATGAAGAAATCTAAAAAAAAAAACAAAAGAACTCTACGCTCTGGGGATCAATGGCAACGCGCCAACTTTGAATGTGGGAGTTCAGTGCATTAAGCTGAATCACAGGCTTGTAGTGCTTTGGAGCGCCACCGCGGCATACAGCTGCACGTTACAGATTGAGTGGTTTGTCTTGACGCCTCATGGCGTGATCCGTCAGGAAGGAGTTAATGACTCCTTTTCTACCCTTTGTTCTGCTTTAACATGCTGGACATAAATCTTTTCATCCCCCCAACAGTAGCACTCCTTACTGCATGATATACACTATCTAGGGAGAGGTAGTGCATCATATTCCTGTGATTATTTAATAGCATACCTTTCTCAAATAAAGACTAAAGGAATGCACCAGCTAAAGAGAGATGATCATAAGGGGGACCAGCAAGGGAAAAATGATGATCCCATCTGAAGAGGGTTTTTGGTTCATGTGGTTGTCCTTGTGGTAGTTTGTGTGGTTAGGGCCAGGTTCATTTGCTTGAATTTGGTAAACACTTTTGGTCCAGGTTATGGTATGAGAAAATGGGATTGAGGTATTCTTAGGTATACTGGCATATCTCAGATGTAACTTCCAGTATGTTGCATCCTCTCATATTTATTTACTTACATTGTGCATGTAGAATATATATTTTTTTTTTACAGACATGTCCATTATTGCTGAGAGTGTTTTGTTCAAATGGCCGACACAACAGCTTAGCAGAATACAGACGAGGGAACACCCCCCCTAATGAACTGCAAATTTACACGTGGTTAGTCATTGTATTGAGTATCTGGTGATTTTATTTTCTTCTGTCAGAATACTAAATGTTTGGTTTTGGTAAATTAAAACTGTCTTACAATTCAGAATTTACAAGTTGAATAATGTGCCTTGCATAAGAACCACTCCCTTATTAAACTCCTTTTAACCTACAGGATGGATGCCACGCTAAGGGAGATTGGTAGTCTAATTCTGGAAGTAAACCCTGACACTCGTAGACGAGGTACTGTGTTTGAGTTTTGTTTGGTCTGCCTGGAATCCACCAAGAACATGGGACGTCTGAAAACGCTTGGATCAATTACCATTGGTCAGAAGGGTTTTGATGACAACAAAACGCTCGCACAGTTAGGGTAAGTGTGAACATGACTTTTAATGACCATTTTCTCTGTAATTGAGTTCGAGTAAACAAGAAGTTAGTGGAAAATAGTACCTGTAATAGTGTTAGATCTTTAAATGCTATATTAGCCCAGTGCCTCTAGGAGAATTTGGAGTGTGCTTGGCTGTTCTCTAAGGAGTATGCACAGCTGGCTGGGCTTGTCTCCTAGGCCTTATTCAAGCTTGCTGGGTCTACACTTGTGCCACACCAACAAAGCAGTGTGATTGCTTTTTGTATCACTTGTATCCTAAAACCTAATTTTAATGGTTTTGCATATTTAAAGATGCTTGATATTCATTTTGATTGCTAGATTGGACTTGTAGTAGTATATTGAGTCCATTTCGGTAAATTATGCTACATTCTTTGTAAAAGCTTGAATGTGGTCTTATTGAGGGATAAAACAGGATGTTCTTCCATTTTCACAAATAATAATATTTTGAAATAAGAGATTATATGTTACTCCTGTGGCTTCAGTAGTTCCCTTTTGTGTGTTACTTGAAGACAATCACACTGACAGAGTGCCATATGACAGTGGAAGTAGTTGACATGAGACAGATCATGAAGGTTACTTCCAGGTTCACAGTAGCAGCAAGAGAATGCAATGTTCCAGGGATAGGAGGCAAATGATTTATAGGCCAAATAATGTCCCATTTTTACATGCTCTGATTAGCTATTGAGAGCACTGTATAAAGAACAGCATAAAATGAATGCATTCATCAAGGTAATAGATGTGAATAACCTGTTCTTTGTAGCCGCAATCATGTTGTCCAGAGCCATGACCATATCAGCTATGACGTGAACTACACTTCATCTGGAGGCATTGGGTTAAATATTTTGGATTATGGTAATCGAGTAAAACCTTCTTCAGTCATATGGTAAATGATCTCATTAGGACTCAAAGTGTAGGCAGAAATCCTATCTATTTTTGTTGCTATATTGCTGGTGTGTTTTGTCTGTTGCCATTTCTACATTTGCTGATGTATAGCATACCTTTTTGTATTCTCTCTACTAGATTTTAAAGATATTGGACATGATACGCAGGTTTGATTCAAGTTCATCAAAGCTGTCACTTTATTGTCCAAAGAGTGAAAGTGCCTTCTGATGACCATGCTATTTGCAGACCCTTGGTATGGACAGATACGAGGCAGATAACAAAATCACAACAAATATTGAAGAGGAATGTTACCATAGTTTAAGTGCATGCAGTAATGATAGGTTTTACATAAGACGATGGATTTAACAAGACGATGTGCAACTCAAGGTATCTTTTCCACTGCAGATTCATCATTGGAGACTACCTTGACATTGCCATCACCCCCCCAAGCCGAGGACCTCCACAGCGCCGCATGCTGAGGCCGTACTAGTCATTTCCTGTGAGGGTGTGGAGAGCTTTCATTTCCAGAGAGTTTGATGTGTATGAGTCTTCAAGGAACTGATTCTTTAAAATGATCGTTTTTATCTGAGGTTTCTTTCCAGTAACAATATTTTTTGTTGAACGTAAAATCATCTGTTATATCTAGATCCAAAATTTGGATCAGGCTTTCTATATGTATATTTTTTGTTCTTGAATGGCACACTGTAAAAGCCAACTTTTGCATTGGTTGTGTCGGTGAGAACGAATGGCCATTCCTTTATAACGTGAACTGAAGTTTATTCAAAGTTATATTATGCTAAGAATTACGAAGCTTCATTTTCTGCAAGAAAAGAGAAAAATCTGCAAAAGGGCATTAGATTGCACTTTGACTATATTTCTTAACTTTACTTTATCCCTTGACAAAAAAGCTGTTCTCAATAAGGTCCAGATAGATAGTGATAAAACATTATCGTAATTTTTAAAGGAGGTATTTGGTATTTGGAAAAATGTTGGTGTAATTCCTAGATAATTTAGCACAGTACTGAGAATTTGTAGTATGTAAAAGAGTATGTATGAGCATTTTAATACAAAAAAAAAAAATGTATTACAATATAAGAATACACATTGGAATACAGTGCATTGTGTTTTGGTATCCTAATATTAACTGAAATCTTAATTTTATATATGTAATTATATAAAAATGTTTTTGCATGCTGTTAAAGTTTAAGGATCAATATATGGATGCAAACTCCAGTTCTTGGGACAATTTAAAGTATATGATATTAGGTGGGATTTAAGGGAGGTGTGTAAAAGACCAAGCTAGATTCAACTCAAATTCAAAATATTTTATTCCATTAGTTACAATAGAAAGTGATTTTAGAGTACATGTAAATATAAGATAAACATGGAAATATGACAGCACATATAAGTCATGCCTATTCTTATATTTTGAAACCTGATGTCAGTGGTGAAAAGATGTTCTTTTGATTTCTTTTTGAATGTATTAGAGTTTCTGATATTTCTGATATTATTTTAGTAATTTGTTCCAAATCATGGGTCAGCTTAATAGTGTCTGCCGTGCCCCTGTATCTGTATGTGATCTTTTGATGTGTAGAGAGTTTACCTGTCTTGTTTTGACAGATGAAAGATACTGTCTGTTTTGTTGATATTTTCTCGTGAATTTTGACTGATTGGCTTCTGTTCCTCGGGTAACTTATGAACTAGTGTGTATCGATGTGATATATTGATTTACTAATGAGGATTTTGTGGTTGACACTATCAAAAGCCTTGAGTAAATCACACACTGTAAACAAGTTTATTTGTTTGTTGTCTATGTTCTTAAAAATTCTATTTGTGATCTGTGGTAATGCTGTTTCAGTAGACAGCTTACTTCTAAAACCATGTTGTGTTTTGAATAGTAGGTCATATGTCTCCAGAAATATTGTCAATTGGTCTGCTACAATTTTTCAAGAACTTTAGACAGTATAGGTAGTATGGTTAAAGGGTGATAGTTATTGACTTCGTCTATGTCTCCAGATTTGAAAACTGGTATTATTATCCCATGTTTCCAAAGCCATGGGAAATCACCGGTGACTAGAGATGTTATTGATAACCCTTATATGATATGCCATTGCAGGTAGACTCTCTAATAAAGTGAAAAGCAATGCCATCTGCTCGTACAGCATTAGTTTCACACAGGTGTTTTAATGTTAAGATTACTGTTTCTATTTTTACAGATTGTGGTCTGAAAATATTAGCTAGGGGCCTTATCCTACCTGTTTTTTGCTGTAGCATTTGTGTGTTCATATGTGAGATGTCCAATTTTAGCAAAGAAATCATTACATTCATTCATAGTAATTTTGGAATTTAGGTTATCTAGGCGTTTTTGGTTTGGCACAAGTGTTTTAACTATTTTCCATGTTTTGCCAGTCTTTTTTTTTAGTCTATTACCCCCTCCTCAGTACATTATCCACCCAAGTCAACACTCAGTCTCCAGGAGATATTCCTACTCTCCCAACATGCTCAACTTTATCATCTCTACCCCCACAACCTTCTTCATCAGCTACCCCATCCTCCCTTATTACTACTTTACAGCTTTATTGTCCACTTCTCCGTAATACTATCTTCCTCAACACTACTCCCTCTTCTACATGCCCCCGTCCTTTTACCACCCCTGTTTCTACAAATATCTTAAATACTCTATTTAGCCCAGCCAAATGGGACCAATTTTTCGTGATTCCTCCCACAGCTCCCCACTCTGACAAGCCTCTTCTCTTCCAGCAATGTTTCCAAAAACAAGTAGGCAGAGTCTCTTACTGTAGTCGACCCGATTGTTACCGTCTCGTCACAATAACATCTGAAAAGCAAGCTATAGCATTATCAACTCTAACTGATCTCTCTGGGAACCCCATTCCTGCAGAACCTCATCTAACCCACAATACTTGCACTGGAACTTTCTCTATCTCCCCAACAAACTGCCCTATCTTTAACCAAAAATGGTCAGATTGTGGAGAAGACTTACTCGCCTGCTTCACGGACTATGATGCGATATCAGTAGAGTGCTACTCCATTCCCCATAGAGGTCATTGTAAGACCCCCCCATAACAGTGCCAAAATTACTTTCCGCAGACATGACCTTCCCTTTAATGTTTACATTGAATCACTCCCTGTCCGACCATATCAACGTCCTCCCCGTCAGTGCCAATATTGTTGGCGTTTAGGACATCCTACCCTTAATATTTGTACTACATTTCCATCTCCCCAGCTGATTGTCCTGTCTACGACAAGGTTTGGTCAGACTGAAAATCACCTACTTGCCTGTCTTGTTGACTACGATGCAGTATCATTATATAGTGCTACACTATTCCCCCAAGAGGCCGCCTAAAGGCCTACACCAGTATTTCCAAAGTAACCTTCCATAGACATGACCTTGCCCACTGTTGTTGTAGCGGGCTTAGGAGACAGAGACAGGGCCAATTGCTGGAGATCAGCCTTACCTTGGGCCTCAGCCCTCGACTCAATTAATTTTGCACGGTCTACTCTTCTTCCCCCTTCCTTCTCTTCTCCAACCCATTTTACTATCCACTTCCTAAGGTGTGAGAGTCGTGTTGAAAGGCTGACTTTGTACCAGTCATGAACGGCCTAGGGAAGCCATGGACACGGTATTCCCGTTTAATTGTCTAGTCCTTATCTTCAAAAGGACCCTGAGGGTTGACCATTTCACTCCCAACTTACTGCAGGCTTACCCTGGCCAGTAATGAACATTTTGTACCGTTATTGAGGGCAGTGCGACTTGCCAATTTATCTGCTAGCCCAATATTTCTCCCGATTCCCTGACCCCAGTGCCTACTGTCTGCAGTACTACTTTACTCAACGTCACTCCCTCCTTCATAAGGCCCGTCCTTCTATACACCCATTTCTACTAATCTTTTGAGTACTCTGTTTAGTCGCTTACTATGACAGCACTCTCCTCTTTTAGCAGTGCTTCCAAAAACAAGTAGGCAGAGTTTCCTTCCGCAGCCTTGTCAGTTATATCCAAAATCCAAGCTAAAGCATTATCCACTCTGATTGACCACCGACAAACCCATTCGTGCCCAGTCTCATCCCTTCCTTAATGTATGTCCGACCATATCAACTTCCCTTCTCGCCAATGTCAGAATTGTTGGCGTCTAGGCCACCCTGCCAAACACAACCGCTACACAACCCAATCTGGGAATGAGCGATCAAATTGCTCTGCACAATCACACACGTGTGTTAGTTGTGATGGCTCCCATGATATACTTTGTAGGGCTGCCCTACCTGTAAGTTTGAGACTGAGGTGGCAATTTTCAGATTCGAACTTGGCCTCACACGCAAGCGAGGTTTTTCTCTTACTCCCTACTCCAGTGCTGCCCTTCGCTCCACCCCACCCTCCCTCCCAAAGTTTTTTCTACATCTACTTCGTTTCTCAGATTTCCCCAACTAATTGCACATCAGGAACTCTTTGACTACTATACTCACCCTCTTTACCGTCACCCTTCCTTGCCCCTTTTAGTGCCATACAATCCTGAACTGCCAAACGACTTTTAACGTGTAGCACATGTGATCATCAACTAACCCCCACCTTTACCCTTTTCACTAGTACACCTTGCTATAGTGTTAAATGACCATTGATATCTACCACATTTATTTTGCTTTGTAACCATTAACCGTTGCTCCCAATCTCTTCCTACACATCCCATCGTTCCCTTCTCCATCTACACCCTTTTCTCTCCCGATTATCCCTTCCGCTCCGTTCTAGACACTCGCGTGACTCCCTTTTGTCATAACAGCGTTCTTCCCTGGATTCTTCCCCCTCCTGACGTTCTTCCTGGTACTTCACGTCTTTACCCTGTAAACCATTAATTAGTAGTCTCTTATTAAGAAAACGTTTGCTCTGATTATTGCTGTAATAATTGTCTATTTCAGAATTTCAATGTGACTTTATTTTTATTTTATTGGATAGCAGCAGCAATTGGGTAACTATTGAAAACAAACTTCATAAACGGTACATATAGAACTAAAAAGAAAAAAAATACTGATAGAACATTTAGAATTAATCTTCAAGTAAAAGAAAAGTAAATATAAATGTGTGAATAAGTAAAGAGTATGGATAAAACGGATGTTTCGTGTACATACACCTGTACACATATCACCAGGTGTCGTATCATATCACAGGTGGACGGAGGCAGATGTTCAATGTTGGACAACAATATCGGTCTTATAGTCATTCTGAGAACTTGTTTCCTGCTACCTTCTCGACCTCGCTAAAATTTTACACGTCACCACGTTGCCAAGAAATCGAGAAGTATATTATCGAAAACAAATCACAAAGTATGAAATCTCGTAACGAAGTATAAAGTGAGTTAGTGGTAATCGAGGACAATTCTAGAGACAAATCATCAAAGGGACTAACTCGGGAAGGTGAGGCTTAAAGTGTTTACGCGATAAATCTTTCTTCT